ACTAGACTGAACGTAAGAGAATCTGAACGAGGCGACAAGTGAAACATGAATCTTAACGAAGGGGACTTCTTGCAGCAGCTACTTCATCCAGTATCCTCAAGGTTCGAGGATTTGTACTGATTTGTACTGAGGCGCTCTCTTTTGTAAACATTTTGGTCTTCTTAAAAAAATAAGCGAATAATTTTGAAACCGCTCAATGGATTTTCTTAAAAATTTCAGATTCTTGAGATTACCTGTCGCTTTGTATTACCCTTAAGTTTCAAGAATATTGATATTTTGCAAGGCAGTAAAATACGAAGGGCTTCGGCGACCTGAATGGTTTGACGCGTTTAAAGCCACCTCCTCTTCTCCTCCTAGATCATGAAGACAAAAGGAGGCTCTGATCACCGGGTGGAGTCCTCATGATACGCAAGATGATTTTCTTGTTACCATGTCAACTATTTTCTAAATTTAGGTGGCCTTTCTTCTGTCTCTGGTACAGTAGACTCGCTCTTAACGGAATTTTCTATTAGACGGGTATACCGGTAAAAGGGACATCCAGAGTTAGTCCTTTCCTTTCTCTGATCCCCTAATTTGACAGTTTATAAGACGGACATCAGTCTTAAACAAACACTCAGTGCGCCTCCCAAAGGTTTCTCTTAGATAAAGTTTACTGGTGCCTGATATTTTACTTATGTTTACTAGTGTTTATTGTTGTTGTTTTTTTTGTACTGGTTAAGCAGTTTTGAGCCTGGTTAGGGGAAGCTTGAATGATACTTGAATGATAATACGTTATTTAATGAGCAGGAGAATGTACATTTTGTATGCATTTTTAAACCTGACCAGACTTATTGTCTCGACTAGCAGCTTTCACCTCACATTCGATATAGGTATAAAGCACTTAGCAAATAAGGGGGAAAAGCCTTTTGAGTGTCTCGGCGTATCGTCTTATAAGGAAGCAAATGTATTGAGGTACTGGTCAACCACCCTTAGAAAAGTTGACCGAACAGACTACTTCAGTTCTCCTATAAATAACGTAAGCCGGCCATCTCTTCACTCTCGTTTTTCGCTCAAACAGGTTAACATTATCGTGATGGGACTTCATATTTAGTTTCCCATTAGTGTTAGACACTTAGGAGACCTGAAAACAGCATAAGAGAGCTTTAGCAGTGTTGTCATCAGTCAACTATTTTCTCTGGTCACGCATAAAACTTGCATACAATAAATGACCAAAAATAAAGAATCAATAAGACCTTTTAAATGTGGAAAACAACTGTTTGAGTTAGTTGTCTAATTTTTAGGTCTTCTCTGTTAATTCTTGGGAGCGTGATTCCTTCAGTCTAAAGACTGCTTAATCGTCGATTAAGCGGTATTAAGATGTAACTGGGTCAAAAAATTAAAGCTGTAGAATGAAAATATCTTGTCAAACCTGGCCTAACCGGGAATAATACAAAAATATTTATTATTTGATAGGTAACTTTTTTTTGGATACCGGGCGCCGTAAAATAATTAATTTTATCGTTTTTAGTGAAGAAATCTCACTCTTTTAGAAGGCAACCGGCAGTATTGAAAGCCATAATTTACTATTTATTCAAAAACTGATTTAAGATGTCAACAAGCGGAAATAAAAACTGTCTGACAAGTGGTTAATAAAATGATTTACTTCTGAGTTTTTACTTTTTTACTACATGTGCGGCTAGATTCTTCGAATTTCTTGTACATGTTGGATTGAAAAGATTGATACTGGATTTCCAATGTATGCAAGGTCTTCAGTAGCAGTAAAAAGACGTTAACGCATATATATGTTAATTTACAGCTTCACAGCGTGCAGTTTAAACATTTGACTTGCGGAAGTTGGAATGTAGGGTTTCACTAAGGGGGCGTCAAAAGGGGAAGGGAAAGCAAAATTCTGGCGCGCAAAGGTGTTGAAAACGGGAATCTTTTCCCCTATTTTCCCTTTTTTCCCCTCCTCGTGCGCCCTTCGGGCTCTCACGCGCTTAATTCCCGCGATCCCTTTCCCCTCTTAAAGCTGCCACGCAGGCTACTTTTAGGGGATTAATCCTAATTAAGCCCCTCTACTGTTAAGTGGTTTCTAACAGGTTGCGGTTGTGTACATTGGCTTGCATCTCACACAGACTGCAAGCAAATGTTACGACATATCCCTTTAAGAATAACAAAAAAATCGGAAGATTTAAAAGGAAGTTAAATGCTCATTCAAGGTACTGAAAATTTGATGCGCTTTTCTTCAAGTCCACTAACAGCTTACCCTTTACCGACTGTTTAAACATGGCGCAGAAAGAAAATTTTCCTTAATGTTCCATTAAAGGTATTGTCTGACCCAGAGACATCGCTGACGTCCCCGCGTCTCTTGCCTTTGAGGCGATCGAGACGATCATATGGAAACTACCAATCGCCCCAGACGTCCGGATCGTCTCGAAATATTTTGAAACGACTGGGGCGATCGGGACGATCCGGACGATCATATGGAAACCAGGCTTTATAAGTGAGAGTTTGCAACGTCTCTCTCTTTTTTTAGAAAACGTAATGTGTTCTAAAACGCTTGACGTGGCATACCGCACGTATTAAAACCTCAAGAAAACTCAGCTCTCAGCTGCATCCCAGGTTTGACCAGTCTGGCTGCCCTTATACAGGGAATACAAAGTTTAGGAAACAAACTGTGAACTACTGTATCGTTGCCATTGCAGTCAGTGAATACATTAAATCTGGCGGAATATGTATGAAACTGCTTTTGAAAGAATTGCGCTCAAAAGACATTTGATAATCTGAACTATTTTTGCAGACAGGGCAGTTTCGCACTGCACTTTGGGACAAAGCGAAATTCCATTATTACTAAATTTCCATTGTATATGAAATCAGTGAAAATAAAGGCAAAAAGCATCATTTTCAGTTCTCTTTAGTTCGCATGTAGTGATGAAATACTTTTGGTAAATTAATAGTCACTGGTCATGCTTTTGTTGTTCTTATTGCTTATTTATGCTTTAAGTTAGCTATAAGCTAAGAATATAATAAAGTACACGCCCGTACCTGTTGTAATACCGTACCGTTAAAAGCCAAAGAAAATGTTGTTTTTGTAATATACAGCACGTTGGGCCTTTATTACCCAATCAGCTTGTTTTTACTTGGTAAGAAGATTTAGAATATTTGGATCCTTGATCGCGCGAGCGCATAAAACAAAACCCCCACCTGTCAACAGGCCATTACCCCTATAGATTCAGCAGCGGGATGGACCTCAGAAAATTTACCGTTTTTGCCTTTCTCCTGAACCTGGGGATTCTCGCTACAACTGTAGAAGGTACACAGCTCTTCTTTTCATCTTAGGCCGTTGCAATCTACATGTGTAGGTTCTAATACCTGACAAAAATGTTACTTATTTCTAGTAGCAATTGTTTTAAAATTATTAAACTTCAGTCTCTTGAAACCCAATTCAACTCGGTCGAAGACTTTTTATTTCATTAACATTTTTCTAGGGAATATACTTGTTTTAGATCTCAACTAAAGCAAGAAGGTCTGGAGGGTAGATCATTTGAATTCATCATAGTGATTTGTTTACAAATGTGGGGGACACAACCGCCACTCCATCTCGCTTTTAAGTAACTAAATCAGTGCTCGCGGAGCTGACGAATTGTTAAGTCGATTCGATGTATTTATCATCTCGTTATTTGCGAATCCTCTACATGCAGGAAGCAATGTTCTCAAGAAAATGACTATATTTCATAGCTCTCGGTCGATTTATTTGTTTGCCGCAACTCTGTCAAAATATCTACAAATAGAACAGTCAGGTCTGTAATCTAGTTACCACTTGGATCGAAGAAACACGAAAGAAGGGATAAACATTTATCCGATGTTTCATATCCTCAGATGACTTGGCCGTTTTAAGATTTCAAAACTTAAGATTTTGCCAGGCGGGTGAGGTCTTTGAAAAACCTGCCCTTAAGCCCCACTCCCACATTCTGACGCATTGCGGAAGTTTTAATATATTTCAATTTTTTGAAGGAATAGTAATGATTTCTGTCAGTTCAGCGACCACCATTTAACAGAAAACCTTACACAAGTTTTATATTTTATATTTTTATTTTTCCGGGTCAGTCATTCCCATGATTCCCGTACTTCTCAGCAACGATCTTCAGATTTCCTTCTTCGTAGAGTTCTGTTTTAATCCAAGTCAACGATAACTGTCATTGCCCCTTACCCTTTTGGTGCAAGGAACTGAGATCACCTGATTATGTTTGTGCACGTGTACGGTGGCCAGAATCAAGACATTTAAATTTGCTTTCAAGTGGAATAACTGAAAATAAACAAAAAAGTAGCTAGAGGAGTCGAAATCAGACTTGAAGCAATTCTAAAGAGAATTGCCAACCAATTTGAGTTTGCCAGTAGGATGGACGGAGTAGAGTGAAACATTGAAGCTTGATGACAACAACAAACCAAAACAAAGACAACCTCAATAGGATGGTATCTAAGTGTGCATTTTTTTCTTTAATTTGATATTACTTTCCTAAAATTATTTGTCTCCAAATGTCTCAGCGTGAGTCTATATCGCGCTGGCCAGATATCTGGCCAGATATGCAATTCGCCAACTTATCCATTACCATTTTATGATTAAGAGCATTTTGGGTATTTTAAATGTAAACTATCTGAAGTATATATCGTAAAATTCGTCTTCCTGAATTTTCTTCACGTAACGACAATCAAACATTTTATGATACAAATGAAAAGCGTTCTTTTAAAATAGCGCATTTTTCGGTCCTGTGCAACTCGACGGTAGACTGAGTCGTTTATTGTTTTTTTTTTGTATTTAACTAGAACTAGGCCAAGTTACGTTTTTACCGCGCTATTTATATGAAAAATCAAATTCACAAAATCCCTGAAAAAGAAAAAAAGGCTTATAATTCACAAAAATAAATAAAGAGGAACCGATCAGTTCCGTCATTTCCACATCTAAAACACAGCCGCTCTGAGACACGCCCCTCGCCTCTCTTTAATTTCAAGCCACACTCTGCTCATTTTCAGGTATTTCCTATCAAGTTGGCAAACTAAACGCATCAGACACACGTCAAGGATGGAATTGCGACGGCGGATGTGAGGCGCCACAACATTGTAAACTGCCACGTTGCACCAATGTGGTATTTCCGCAAACGTTTAGTGGATCTGGAACCGTAAGTAAACCCTAAGCAATTAAAACTTATGGTCTAATTTTCAGGGTTCGGGGTAACTTTCTTTTGTAAGTAAACCACATTAAGCTTCTTTAAAAATCTAATGTTCTTCACAAATTTTGATTTGTGGTTTTATGATGCTTTGACGTCAGCCAATTTGGTGCGCATAGGTATGCTTAAGTGCTTCTAATCCCTGGGATGTGTTTTTGAACAAAACAAATACAAAAAGCCGGAAGATTCTGACGATAAATATAGAAGGTCTCTACTCCATGAAATGGGAATGGGAGAGGGGTGGGAGGCGTGAAAGTGTGTGGGGAGGGAAGGGGGTTATTGGGGTGGATTAGCTAGACTCTCTTTTTCTTCAGATTAAGTTTAGTGAGTGGAGTAAACGCGCGCGGAAGCGTCGAGCAGACGCGAGAAACGAGGGAGGCATTCTCGGGCCTTCAGTCACGTGCAAGGTCACGCATGTCTCGCGCGTGTCGCTCGACGGATTGGGAAAAAAGAGAGACTGCTCATAGTCTAGGGTGGAGTTGTCGCCTGTTAAGTTTTCATTGATGCCTGTCTTTACCTAACGCATTTCAGGTTCGAGTTTTTGTGTCATTAAGCCATGAAGATCAGTCTTCAGTTGTTCATTCACCTTCCGCCGTGTGGGCAGAGTCCATTAGTACAGTTGGATTTCAGTTATGCTCGCGTGCAACAGGTTCTACAAATGACACTGGAATTATCAACTGGGTAGCATTCCAGGACAAACCTAAGTTAACGCATGGAAGCGTTACTTTTAGCGGAATATGGACAACAGAAACGAAGTGTGCGAAGGTGGCGTTTTCTCAGGTTAGATTCCAATAATTGATAACAAGTATACAATTTTGTTATAAAGGTGTAAAACGTAATTAAATAGTAGAAACAAATGAAATAGTATCAGAAAGTATTTCTAAAACAAATGATCACTAATTAATATTCAGAATTTGCTCTTCACAGCAGAGTCCACTGCTAAAAGTCTTTTTAAGCTTTCTCTCGGGCTTATTTTCAAACTTTTCCTTCCATCACCTTTAGATAAGCCATTTTCACGTTTCACTTTGGAGGTAGTGATTGAATAATTCGTGACGGTTTTGAATGTATTGTTAGGGACTTTAAGATACGTCACTACGGTCGCCTGGGACGGTTAGATAGATGTCACGTCACGCAAAAAACGCGTGACCTTTTACCGTCGTCCTTCTGGGACGGTATGTTTTCGCCGGGTTTCTCGTCGTGAAGACAACGGTGAAACCGATAAGAGTTCATGCATACTTATTGTCACTTTTCTTCTAAAACTGAGTAGCCACTAGGTTAAATACGCGTTGGCTTGTGTTTACATTGATTTACCTATCGGTGAAATGAAAAAAAAAGCGAAAATGTCTGAGTTCATTCATAACTTAGCTCGCGGCCGCATGGCGACTGCTTGTTTTCTACCCAGTGTCGTCCGCAATGGCAGAGGAAAATTGCCGAAAAGAAAGGTAAGGCCCAGTTCAAATGTTCATCTTTTCATGTACCGAACTTAATACCTAAATGGTTCGAGGTTGACTCAGGCGTCGAACTTAAAGTGTAGTCGAACTCGATTCATTTTCAGGATGTTCAGGATGTTCAATGGTCTAGAATGCTTGAAACAAGTGAAAATAAATTTTAGTAATTTGTGCTTTAGTTTTAATTCGGCACATGAGAAGTTCGACGTTTCAACTGGGCCTAACAGTGATGATTGTAGCCGTCTTTTTATAACTTAAAACTGCATTTTTTTATCAAGAAACGATTTCTTTAACTCAAAAGGTGTTGGCTTAGGAAATAAAAGTTCAAATAAAAACATCGACTACAGTTTTGAAAACTAGCTAGCTAGCTTTAATTTGTACCCTTATTCTTCTGATTGGTATTTTTCGTATAAAACAAGAAACTCTTCTTCAGTAATTGAGCCTTCTGCGAAAGAAATGACAAGCGAGTTTCGCACATGACTTCACCGTCCTCTGTGTTGTTGTCCGATCTTAAAGTGAAAATTTTCGCGGCTTCTTACCGTCATGGCCCCAGGCCGCCCGTATACGCATCCAACCGTCCCAGCCTACCGTAGTGACCTATCTTAAAGTCCCTGATGTGTTAAAGGGAATTTGGAAAATAGAAGTCTATTTATTTAATGATATCAAATTTTTAGCATTAAAGTTAACAAAGTTGGCCGAAAAGAAACATTGTGGTTTGTAACTTTATTTAAGTAATGGGCCATATAAGATGCATTCAACAACCCTTTCAGCCTTTCGTAGAAAGAGGTGAAAGAGGGGTAGAAAATTGAGTCCATGAGAACAGACAAGTAGATTTAATTAATTTGCTCCCCTTAGCCTTTGATAAATCCTTAATTCCATTTAACTGTGGCTGACAACTTCATTGATACGATCATGTTGATTCATCTCTCGAGAAGCTTGTTAATTTTTCTGTCAATAGTTTTTCATCTATATGTAACATTTTTTTGCAGAGCTTTGCTTCCAAGCCTCGTGTATTTGTCTCTGTTAAGTACACTCGCAGTACAAGGCCAAATGACGCTATGTACCTTTGGTTAGAAAACGTCAATTCTGGAGGATTTGAAGTGTGCTTAAGGGAATTCTTGCCCTTTGATGGAAAACACCAAGATGCAGTTGTGGTAAGTGAAGAAAACTGCTTTAGTAAACTATAGTATTGATGAAAAAAAAAAAAATAAAATAAAAAATAAATAAATAACTTGACTGTGACACACTTCGGCAACCCGGATAACCAATTACCCAGAACGTCCGTGACGCAGTTAAGGTCAGTGTCCTGTCTCACGTGTCTCATGCAGTCATTTCTTGTTATTAAAGGAAATGTCGTTCGAAGCCTGACGCAACTCGTCTTGTAAAGATAAGAATAGCAAATTAAACATTATTTTCTTGTCCACAGGACTGGTTCGCATTCACCAGAAATGGGAGTCAACTTAATTTCACAACAACTGGAGAAGAAATCTTTCCAAACAGTGGAAATCCATCGGCCAAAAACAACTATGGCTTCTGTCAGGTGAAAACGTTAGTTCTAACGGGAACATTTTAGCAACCCACAGAACATTTTCAGTGGTTGAAGTCACACTATAGAAAACCTAATATGGTAAACCCAAGTTTACCTCGGCGAACCCAAATTTGCCAGGCCATGGTAATCGACACTGTATCCAAAATGGCAATTCCCAGCTGAGCGCGACATGCTTATTTCGCGATTTTGATGTGCGCATATTTTGGGATTTTTAAATTCGCGACTTTGCATTCTTTTTATATTACGAATCGCTTCAATTTCGCGTTGTTGACAGTGGGCGAATATTACAAGTGGGGACTTTACAAACGATGGTGAAAAATAGAGCGAAAAGTGAGCATTGTCACATCCATTTACTAACTTACATGACTTTTTTACTTATTTACAGGAAGTGCCTTTCAATACGACCTTTTACAAATCGCCAATTGTGATTCTTTCCGTAAATCATGAGTATAATCTTAAGGTCAAGGGAAGTCGTCCTCCAGAAAATAATATAATATCAGCCTGGGTTGAGGTAGGTTCAAATTTGTATTCTAGCCTGAGAAAACAGCCGACATTTCGCTCGCCGTCACTAATATTTTTCCCACAAAATGACGTCTAAGGAACGAACGCAGAAATTGCATACTGATATGTGTCACTACGCAGATCTGGGCATGCAGTGCTTCTGATTGATTAAAGAAATTTCCCTTGCGGCATGACTAATCAAGAACCCTATCTTGATCTGGGAAGTACACGTCATCAGTGTGGAACTCCTACATTCGTTCCACAGGAAGGAATATAAGCGTAATATCCCGGATTGTCACGTGAGGTTCATGATCAAGAACAGGGATTTTGTCAGGGCTTTGCAACGTTATTGTATTCAATTGTTTACTTAAACTCTCACCACACCTTTGAGACCCAGAAATCATACCCCTTGTTAGGGGAGATAAGTAATCCGTTTAATCTATAGCCAGTAAATTTATAAAAGGACTGTGAAAACTGTGAAAAAGCCATACGAAACCAATAATTTGGATCGGATCCATGAATTTCAAGGTATGGTCGTAGAAATTAAGAGGAAATTATGGATCTTCTAGTGACTGATGAGTGCTATCACATTTTGCTGTAGGAAGTTGGATTAGAATCTATGAGGGTATGCGTTAAAGACCTCAGTGGATTAGGATCGAGTCATGATCCCTTGATTGTCAGCTACGCCGTTACTGGAGGTTGTTTATTAATTTTCCTATCGTAATGATAACTATTTCTAGAATTGTTTTTATTTTTATTATCATTATTTCTATTAGTTTTATTGATATCTTTTAGAAGTTCTTATATGTAGGAAAACATTTCATGATATAATTAAAGAAACTCTGGAGTACATATACCTCTTATTAGCCGAGTTTTCGGTCCGTACTGTAAATTACGGACCGAGTTTTTTTTCCATCGATTTATGGCCCGAGCGCTTCGCGCTTGGGCCGAGGATCCGTAATTTACAGTACGGACCGAAAAAAACGAGGCTAATAAGATGTTTATTATATGGCTTCTTCCTGTTTGGGGGACCGAAAACAAGTGCAGGACGCACGATTTGACAGTCATTTGACAGGCGTCAAAAAAGAAAGTTTTTATTGGCGCACGAAAACAATAGCACATAACAAAGGCTTTCCGAGAAAGTAAAAACAAATTCGCCATGTTGAAAAAGTTTATTCGGTCAAAACTAAGAGCAATGTAAGTTTTAGCTCTTTAATGTAACGCTGGAGTATTTTGGAAATCGGACACTGTGTCTGTCTAGAAGTCGTTTCCATCTTTCTCCCGTTTGGCAAAAGGCAAAGAAGCTTTTCAAGGTAAGTTTGTTGTCATTGTCGAAGGATTCGCTCGTTAATTGTTTTTGGGAAAACCTCTCTTTCGGCCAGTTCATTCTCGTCTTCAATTGTGATCTGTCTTAAAATTTTCAAACACTGGCTAGCATTCTCTTCCTCGGTAAGGTTACGATTCAGTTTCTACAACAGCTTCGTTCTCATTAAAACGAAGCTAGGTTAAAATTTGGAAAGGCAAAGTCAAAATCCCAGTCCTCAGGGTTTATATACGTATTTCAAAGTTTATTCAGTGGAAACTAAGAGCACTGTAAGTATTCACTCGTTAATGTGAAGCTGGAGTCTTTTGAAAACTGGACATTATTGTGTCTGGCTCGAACTCTCTTCTATCTTTCTTTCGTTGGTCTTTGAAAAAACACTGCAAATGGCAAAGAAGCTTTTCAAGATGATTGGGTGCAGGTATGTTTGTTATCATATTTGTTGAAGGAGTTGCTCATTTTCTCTTGGGCAAAACATCTCGAATCTCTGCCAGTCGATTTTCGTCTTCTTAACTGTGTACTACGATAAAATTTTCAAACACTGACTAGAATCCTCTTCAATAAGATTACGAGTTAGTTTCTTCATCGCCTTCGTTCACAAATAAACACAGTTTTAAATGTTGAAGGACAAAGTCAACATCTAAGTCCTCAAGGTTGATAGACGTCTTGTAACTTAATTTTAACCGTTTTTCCGAGGTAAAGAGATTTAGAGCCCCGGAATGAGCTTTTTCTTTGAAATTTTGGTCCGTATAGCAAGTTACGGACCGCAAATTGACCAATCGCATGGCGAAAACAGACTCGGCCATAAAATAAAAACACTTATATACGTTATTCATGTTACACTCAATCTTTGCACGCACTTCAGGGGTTGATGGGATAAGAGCAATTAATAATATTGCCAATAAGAGTAATCGAGTAATCTTGGTCGAGTTTGTTTATTTACTCAAAATAAGACGACGATTTTAGTCATGCAAAATGCAAAATGTAAACTTCGACAAGTTTTACGTCATAATTCCTTGCTGTGAAGACTTCTACTGTCGCATACTGCATTCAAAATCACTTCCACCCATATTTTGCGATTTTCGTTTTTAAGGTTAAAACAACAACAAAACTTTATTAATAAAAATAATAAAATTACAAAAGTATTGCCCGCAGCTAGCAAGGCTATTCGAGGCGGGACAATGCATGCAAAATATAAGAAATAAACACTAAGGCTATTAACTAGGGAAAGTTTACAGTTAGTTACAAATAAATGAAACAAAAATCGTAGTATGGATGAGGACTAGATAACAGACTAAAGGAAAAAGAATTAAACGAATAAATTGTAAAAGAAGAAACTACTAAGTAAGAATTTATTTTTATTTTTATTTTACCTTTTTAATTAAGGTAGGCGTATCAATGTAGTCTTCTTCTGAATCCAGAATATCAAAAAGTAATTTGTGGAGTGTTTTTTTGAACTTATTCTTGGGGAGTTGTCGAATGCTATAGGGTATCTCATTCCACAGCTTAGCCCCAAAGCGAGAGAAAGACAGTTTATATAATTCTAGATCGGAACTGTTAACATAAAAATTTCCTGAAGCCGATGCTCTTGTATTGTAGTAGTGGCAGCTGCTTGTTTTTTGAAATAGATTTAAAATGGCAGAAGGTACCTCAAAGGCGTCAAGAGATTTCGTAATTCGATCGCACCTTATGGATATCTCTTCAACTCTCTTTGTCAGCTGGTGGATTTGTTTAGCGGCAGCAGATTTAAAATGAAGTAAAGTCGTCAAACTGATCAGACATAAATTCTACAGAATGTTCTTTGCCTGGTGACATTTCCCTCGTCTTCTTCTGCCCAGGTTGGTGCTGCGCTTGCGACATGCCGTCAGTGATTTTCTTCAGTTGATTCTTTAGATCTTGAATTTCCTTTCGTAATGCTTGGTTTTCTTTCCTTAGTTTTTCAGTTTCGGTCATAGTTGAGAAAAACGTGAGGTACCTACATCCAAACAATGTTACTACTACTGAACAGTAACTTAGTTTTAATTTAAATATGAAAATATATTAGACATTTATGTTTTTTTTTTCCAAATGGATAACTACTCAATTTTATGTTTCTTGGTACAGACCTTAATCCTTGCCTTAACGTGCATTGCCCTCGACTTCGAGTTTGTAGGACCTACAGTGCGCACGACGCTCGATGTGAGTGCGATTACCAATGCCCCTCATATAAAGACCCAGTGTGCACTGCAAACGGAACAAGTTACGACAACCGATGCTGGCATAAGCTTAGCTATTGCAGAGGACTTGAAAATAATCCGGTCTATCACCCAGGAAGCTGTGAAGGTAGCGAAAAATAATTTCAACGATTTTTTTGGCTGTATATGCCAAATAAAATAGTCTGGGAGTTAAGCTCTCGATCGCTTAGAATTATAGGTGTTGGCTCAAAATTGAATTGGCTTCTAGCCATGATCTTTATAACTTTTCCCTACTTTTAAGCTCGCTTTCAGCTCCTCACGCAGGCTAAGCAACAATATGCAGCTGTAACAAGCTGCTTCGTCTCTCTGTTTTGGCAAACAAACATATAACAGCCCAGAGTATGGCCGATGTTGGATCTGTGTAAGATCTTTTATTCTTTTTTGTCTTGCAATCCAGTTTTCATCGCGTAAAATTAGATTACATAAATTTCCTCGGGGCAAATAATAGTGCAAAAAGAAAAAAAAAAATACAAAAGAGGAGGAAATCAAAGACAAAGGTGGTAAATATTACATTTACATACCAGTTTACATGGAGTTGCATATATGAGGGAAAATGCAGTATTTACTAGTATCTTTGCACTTGATTTCATCCTCTTTTGCACTTTTTGCACCTTATTAGCACTGAGTAAATTTGCTGAAAATCAAATCTTTCGCGCAGTGGCGCGCGTGCATACGCGTACATGTAATCAGGTACGCTTTTGATTCATAATTTTTTTTGTTGACCTTCTCCAACATACTGGCATAAGTTTATCTTTATACTGGCATATGTTTATCTTGGGCACTGAAACCGACATGCAATAATGAGCAGCCACTATACATTTCGTTGTTGAAATGTAGCCGACTTTGCAACTTACAGTCTAGTTTTAGTTCCATTTCCACGCTTTTTTTATCACCCCCCTTCATTACTTAGAGTTGCACTACAACGCAAGCTAGGGAAGCTACCTAAGCGATAATGCTTAAAGAGCACAGTGGTGTTCCCTTATAAAGTACTTTTAAATTAACATTTATTACAAAACAGGTTTTCCAATTGTACGGGGCCGTGTAGATCTGCTGCGGGTTCCAAAATGGTCAGATTCAAACTGTCAGACAGTCTCATTTCCTCCATACCGATTTTATCCGGATAAACAAGTTCATGTTCAAATAACCGTCAATCACATGAAGCTGAATGACTCTGTGACAGTCCACGACGCTGTTACTTCATGGACAGAAAGTATCAACACAAAAAACTTCACCGTCTGTGTCATGCAAACCGGGAGGAAAGAAGAAAGTGCGAATCCATTTGCCACCATTGATTGGATAGCTTATCAAGGAGCACCACCCGAAGGATTGACGGGAACGGTTGAGTTGCAGAAATGGTGGTCTGGTACCAACTGCGCAGATGTAACCTTTCCTTCGGTAAGACGGAAATATTTTTGTACGTACAAATTTAACTCATTGTTGCAATGAAAGTATCCTAGGACGAATATCTTAGAATTTTATTCGCCACTACAGCTTGATCCACGTCTTCCAAACGAAGTTAGTCAAACAAACAAAAATGGCTCAATAAATCTAGCTGGATTTTTTAATTCAAAATAAACCTAGCAAAATTTGCCGCCATTTGGGTGGAAAAGGGCCAAAGAGTAGGTTTTTCCGGTCCCGTAAGCCCGAAATCACTCAAGGGAAGGAAAAGGAAAGGAAACATAAAAAGATTCCATATAAAGTGAGGATAGGCTGATTTGCCTACTAGCAGTGAATCTCACGAGCAGCAATATTTTAAGGAACCATTAACACGCCTTCATTTGCAATAAGAAGCTATTTTGATTGCTCTTATTGCTCCTTTGTCATATTTTTCTTTTTTTCAGGGCAAGTTTCCTGAGGCACCAATAGTCCTTGTGACGTCAGAACACCTGAGGACTGGTAAAGAGTATGATGCTGCTCTCATTTGGATTGAAGACGTAACAAAGGACTCAGTTAAAGTTTGTCTTCGTGAAATGCAAAACTTTGACGGTAGACACCAAGATATCACTGTGGTACGTTATTAGTTTTTAAGGAAACTAGAACGCCATTGTTTACGCAATGTGTGAGCAATGCTGGTTTGTAAACCATACTAGCGATATGATTAGAAGCGTTCGTAACTTCAAGATTATCAGCTAGTGATTTTTTAGTCTAAAGGAGAAAGAAAATGGAAAGTAACAAAAAACGGGAAAAAAAATAGACATGAATTGTTTCGCCTATTCCTCATGCTTCCTTTCATGTTCTTACACGATGCGGTTGGTGTTCTGGGAAATTGTGACGTCTTGCGTTCTCTCCTTGGTCACCACTCCATAGAGCTCAAAATGCTAAGATTTAAGGCCTAAAGAATGCTGGCTTTGATAAATGTTTGGTGAGGATGATTTTACAATATTTACACAGTACGGATGGCATGGGCTCCTGATCACTTTTGTTGTTCTCTTTTCACAGAACTGGTTTGCTTTCTCCAAACTGCACAAGCCTCTTTTCACGGAACATGGCGTCATAAGTTTTCCAAATACGAACCCACCTTTGGATAAAATGAACAATGCTTATTGCGAGGTGAGAATAGGATTACTCAATCACGCCTTTTTATCTCATTCATCATCTCAAGTAGCATGCTGTTCACAGCATTCAATTTAGAAAAACAATTCGTTTACTAACATTTTACTGAATATTTTCAAAACAATTGTAGTCGTGTGCAGTAAAGATCACGGAAAATCTCTTATAAAGCGACGAGAAAAATCAAGATGCTGGTACAGAAAACAATGTTTAAAATATACATAAAAAGTCGGCAGTTCATCCTGATAAAATGATTAATTTCAATCCAATGTTTTTTAACATCTGAAACAAAAAAAACAACAACAACAACAACAAAAACGGGAGGTAATTCAAGCTTGTAATGATCAGGAAATACTGTCTTAAGCGTTGTATGTTTCTCTTACATGGCAGTTCGTTTCATTCATGAGGGTTTATAACGCGACCCCGACAGTGCTTGTCTCAGCCAATCACAGTACGAAGGTATCTGGGAATTCAGGTCCGATTCACAACGGAATTACCACGTGGATCGAGGTAAAAAAATTTCTCACTTAAATTGTATTATAGTGATTTGTCATGGTAAACAAATTTCAAACCAAAACTCGATGAAGGATAAAATCAAACAGACTGGCAGAGTGGAAGCCATATATAAGTGTAGCTTACTTGTTGTTTCGACATACAGTGTATTGCAAACTGCACCTTATCTAGGAAAGGCATGTGATCAAAATAATATTAGATAATAAGAGTAACTGCTGTCACTTGTGTAAATTTTGACCGTTAGAGAAAAACGGCAAAAATCCTGTTTTTTGCCTTCAGGATTTTTTTAAAGAAATCATCGTTGCAAAATCAAAAGTCACCATTCACAGTAAAATTCAGTCCTTGTTCTAGTTTAGAAGTGACTTTTTTTGTTCTTCTTTGTTTTCTGGAAATATAGCCTTTTGTTCTAGTGCAGCCTGGCCTTGCCTCGATTTTCAACATCACGACTGCAGTGCATGCTAGGAAATAGCCATTTTTTTTTTCATATTTGTGCAAAATCTACTGTCGCTCTGACCTACCACGGAAGTTTCGCGCTTGTTGTCATTTTCAGTTGTCGCAAAGTTTTAAATATATGCCGTGGCAGGTCAAGAAATTCATCAGTAGTCCAGTCCCAAAGCTACTTCGTTCCGGAGCTGCCATTATTTCTCCAGTTACAAAAGCAACAAGCAAAATTCGCAAACGAAGTTCGTCATCTTACTCACTTCTTTAAGAAAGTGGACTCTTAGCTACCGTCACGCTTAATGATGCTCATCAGGAAGCCACTAAAGGTGAAATATGGCTGTAAAAGTACCAAACATCGCGTAGAATCCAAACTTCAGCGGTTATTATAGCTCATCGAAGCAAAATGACTACGTCAGAATGACGTTTCCAGAAAACTCAAGCCTTTAGTGTTTTAGAACAGCACCTTCCATGGTAACCCCAATTATGGATTCACGAAATCCTAAGGATTGTTTCTATGTAGAAAATCACTCTAAACCGTGAAAGTCTTGGACGTTTATGGGTTAAATTAATTCAGGAGACGTGATGGTCTTGAACTGTAGGCTCAAGTTCATGCGTAACTGTCGAATTATTTTCCTTAGACATTAGGAGCTTTGTTACACTTTGCATCTCTTTATCCACACGTCTTACCCAGGGGAAAGTAGCAATACTCCTGGATGCTCTTTCGGGATAGACGGGAATATTTAGCTCTGGTAGTGAGGGCCATGTGTCTCGCCAGCGACGTATAACCTACATTATTCATAAGATATAGAAAGTAAAATCGTTCTTACTAAAAACACCCTTGTGGAAAGCGATATACATTTTTTAAATTAGATAACACTTTCAACAGGGGCACCCAACTACTGTTTTCTTTAAATTATATTTTCGGAGAAGCAAATATTGCCTAGAATTTTCTTTTGCTTGATGACGACTAGAAATTTCTAGATGACCGTTCCATTCAGGTACAATTTTCGACGCTTCATCTAATAAATGTCCTACGATGTTCTGAAATTTAACTTCTCACATTTTACTCCTCATGTTGGGCTAATTTTCGTAGGAAAAGGAAACCAAAAGTTTTCTAATTCAAAAATGCAATGTAGAGAGGATTAAGAAAATGTCACTTTCGTAAAACATTATATCGCATCTAAAGTTTTCTTAAAAATAATACTGAAGCCCTTAATCTTGTAATCTCGAAAATCTCAATTTCCCCTAGGATGATCGAACAGATACAAATTTTTTATAGCGCCACTTAAAGTGCATTTCTCAAGATCAAAAGTACCCTAGATAGCCTAAAAAGAATTTTGAATGTATTTAGGGGAAATCGTCGTTGGGTGCCTTAAATCTCTTTTCATTCACTCAGTTCGAGGTCCTTAAAAGCGTTAACTATTCACACAGACCATGATCATCGTCAAGTGACGTTACTGAATCTTTTTGCAGTCTTTTGACTTCTTCGAAATCAAAAGCAATAATTCTAGGCCTATGTAAATAATTTTAGACCTATGTAAGCCCAGTTATTGTGTATATTTGCAGAACATGAATACCTCTGGATTCAGGGCCTGCGTCAAGGAATTATACGGGACCAGATATGACCCCTTGTCCGTCAGTTATGCTGTGCTCACAGGTCTGGTAATTATTACTAACTGTCTTCATTTATTGAGTATGTCCACCCTATGTTTTGACAAACGAAGCTTACCAGATTAACCTGAGAACAATTCGTCTTTTGATTCACCTGCGTTTTTTTTTTTTCTGAAGAATATTTCACCGGCAAGCATACAGCACTTTGCTCAAATTTAAAGCATCAGGCATCAAACAAAAGTTAGAAGTTTGTGTTGCTTGCAAATTCACGTTTACGTAGTAATCTTTCTTCCATCTGGGTGGCACCACTCCAACTGCCCCGGAAACGTTCCTATTTGCCATCATTTTCGTATCAGCCTTGCAATAGTACTGCGACTGAGGTGCCGTTAATATATACCTAGGTTTTTTTTATTTATTTAATTGTATTTTATACAAAAATGGAGTAAGTATGGCAAGGAGGCCTAAAGGAAACTGTACCTAGCCTAATGTTTAATATATAGATTTAGCCAGGGCTAAAAGCGAAGCTCTCGATAATATTTATAGTTTGTTCAAACAAAATATAAAATCGTGTAATGCTAAGCGGCGAAGGCAACGCCGGAGAACGGAGAAAAAACAACAATAGGTCTAATTAGCAAAAAAGCAACCTTGCACGTGCAGCACACTTTTTTTGTACATTTCTTTGCCGTTGTTTTGCACGACCACAACGTGAAACTTCCAGAAACTTTTTTATGGAGGAAATGTCGTACATGTTCTCGTTCACTTTTTTTTCACTACCGCTCATTTTCTCCTTGCATTGGTGGCCGCTAGCATTTCTCATTTTGTCACCGCCCCTACAAAATTTTCATGTTGTTCTTCCAACAAAAAAAGTCTCCTTTGTTTTTTATCTCTCGCTCTAGATCTTCTCGCTCTGTTGCCGTTTTTCTCGTTGAGTTTCTCTGGCCTTCCTCTTTTTCTCTTTTTCTCTGTCTTTCTCTGGCTCTATATTCCAAATGTGTGGACATAACAATTAATCTAAGCTTAATACTTTTGAAAACACGGATACAAAGACAATTTCCGCTTTTCGGTTTCGTCTTTATTGACTCTTTAGTTGCCTCTGCTTTACAGACGCGGGTGGCTATGCGATTTCCCGCCAAAATAACCTCGAGTTGCATTTGGGTTGCCATACCTGTTGATTGAGTTATTTCACATTGGTATGCCTGTGGTGCGGACGGACGGTCGGGCGTACGGTCACGTGATAACCAAATTTTCGCGGATGGGTAGATTACCACATTTTCTTACCCATGGTGCTCCGCAGGCGCGCTTCGCGCGCCAGAGCTCCGCTATTAAGCCTGCTCAATTACTAACTATGTTTCATGATAGATGACATAAAAATTACGACGACGGATACAATTTTTTGTCAAAAGTAAAGTAACAATATAATATGGAAATTAACAAAAGTTGAAAATTATCCTCTTTGTCTGACTTTGTAGATATTTGTGATCCTGGCTGGAACTACTTCAACGGTTTTTGCTATTTCACAAGTAACACTTGTCAAAATTGGACCATAGCACTGGATAAATGCCGACAAGAAAACTCGG